TTCGTTCAGAAACTGAATCTTCACTCCTCGATTCCTCTCTGAACCCCCTCTTTCTCTTTTTTCATGTTTCATTCGTGATTTTTTCGGTTTTAGAATAACGAATTCTTGTATTCAGGGAGAGATGTTAGAAGTCCACTGCTGTGACCATGAACAATGCGGATCTTCTGTTATCGATCTTTCGACTCCGCACACTTTACAAAGGGATTTCAATAATTGGCTCAATGTGAGTTTTTGAAACTCTTCATAGCTAATTTAATGTGAAGTCTTGAGCTTTTCATACTGTTAACGCGTTTACTAGCATAGCTCATTTACAAGCAAACTTGACATACTAATACAATCCTTCAAACCTACTTCGGTTTGCCCAGAACTGCATCATCTCTACATGGTTCAGTTCTTGAGCATTTCCATTAGATTATCCCATTACAGTCATTAGGTTTTTGTATTTTGTGTTCTTTCGTTGCAAACTCTTCCATCTCATTGAAAGTTTTGTAGTAACAAATATCCAAAAAGATTCGAAAAAGATCATGAAAACAATCTAGATAAGTGGAAATTGTAGTAATTACTAGTTCACGAGTTAGTTGTGTTTTGGACTCGAATTCTGTGGAAAAGAATTGTCTCGGAGCACAATTTATTGATTTCATGAGTCACCGTGTTTTGAAATTTAGTGGAGCAGGAACGGAGACTTTGAAATTCCTATTTAACATGAATACAGTAAACCAAAAGTATTGTTCCGATTGTTATGACATCACTAATATCATTCATGAATCATCAATCACCGTTACTCTAGTTCTTGACAAACTGTATTCTCAAAACCAATACCAGTTATTCCTTTTGTACTTTGAATTTCATACTTTGTCCTGATGTCGATGACTTTCCTAGTTTAGTAATTCTGAACTCGGTTGTTTGAATTCCAACATACAATATGACTATCAAAACACTTTCTGAGCTGACGAACCCAAGTTCAATTTTCCAGGGAATCGAAATCCCGAATACTTATGAATTCTCAACAAAATGACTCTCCCTCCTCTGCCGATGAA